TATGGTTCATGGGGTCACGAAGAGTCGGACACGACTTAACGACTAAACAACAACAACTTCCCTAACATGGCATCCTCTAGATATTATTGAGATTACAGCTTCTAGAATTCCCAGCTAACATGGATAATGGCTGGAAATTCAGGGACTTATTGTCCCACTACATCTGAAGGCTTGTTAGAGAATATAGCTATATAAATCCTGAGGAGGTGTGGAAGAAGGAAAATGCAGCATGAATAAGCAGAAGTGGAGTGCCTTCTACACATAATCTATCACTTCTGTGTCTTAGTAATTTTTTTTCCCAGTGGGAGGCTACATGTGTCTTTGGACCACCACTGAGGGAAAAAAGGTGCAGCAGTTATGGGTAGAAAGCACAGATTTCCATCTCCCTTGCTTTTACAGCTGTTTAAATCACCTTCCTGCTGCCAGCCGTTACAAGTAACTTGGCTCTTAGATACCAACATGTGCCCAGACTACCCTATTGCTTGCTGATACAGACCACTTTCCTAATTACTCCTATGTGGTTCTTCTGATATCTGATTACGTTAGGCAAGGAGCCTGTCTGGGCTGACTTACAAAGTAAAGAGAGCAATGCTTATGACTTCCTCTGTAAAGGAGGATTCTGTCATTTTGTTGCGGGGAAGAACTGTTTCCCTGTTACTGACATTAAGAATTGCTAGATCAGGGCAATGAACAATGTAAATAAAACCATTTAAAAAATTAATAAGGGCATTTTCAATTTCATATTCATGCATCTTTCAGAGTTATGTATCCAATAAAAATGAACAAGCAGGCATAATAGTGGAAAAATAATACATTTGGTAACTCAGTTCATTCTTTTTCTTTTTGTAATTTTAGTTGAGAAAAAAGTAATGCCTAGGTTCTGTCAAAATACACCACAGTAAGTGAAAATAGATTTCAGTGGTGACTGGCATGTAAAAGTGCTTTGTCTTCATTAAAATTGAACTGTAGGTAAAATGCTACAAGTGTAATAAATACATACATAGAGTACATACATAAAAATAATTGTAGACAATCTGTTTTTAAAACAAGCAAGTTCCATTCATGGGCTATTGTGTAGAATTTTAAAAAACTTGAATTATTTTTGTTGTGTCTTTTTATTACAAAGATAGATTTGAACAATGACATCTACAATTCATTTCTCTGACTTATATAACTGAAATTTAATAGATAGACATATTGCTTTTAACTTGGCATAGTTATAAATTTATATTTGGGAAAGATACGAGACCGTGTAAACAACGGTTTGATTTAGTGAAGTTAATATTTGACAGAAGTGAAAAATAACACTGGAAATTATTGCTTATTGCTTCATGTATTTGATATATTTACAGTGAGTTTCCAAGAAATACTGCTTAATTGTGAAACTTGTGATCTTTTCAGGATACAATTATTTATCAGCTGAAGAAGCGCTATGCAGATTTACAAATGTATACTTACGTTGGAGATATCTTAATTGCATTAAACCCCTTCCAAAATCTCAGTATATATTCTCCACAGGTAAGAGAGAATCTGGAGTCCTGCTTTTTAAAATATGCTGTATTGGGCAATCATATTGTTTATTTTATCAACTAACAATAGCAATTGATGGAGGGTGCTTCTTTATAATGTGTTTTTGAACAAAGAATATTAAGTTAGGATGACAAATTGTACCAATACTTCTCCTGCCATGAATAATAACAGTAATAATAATAATAAGCTGCCTGACTCCTGCAACTCTGGGCAGTTTACAAATTGTCAAAAACATTTAAAAACAAAGAAAGAACATGAAACAAAAACAACTCAACCAAAGAAGCAAAGATGGCAGAGAAAACAAACCAGGATAGGAACAAGGAAAACAAGAAAAGGGCATCAATCATCTTTGCCAAAAGCCTGGGTGAACAGTCACATCTTCAGGGCCTTTGAAACACCAGTAGGGTGCGGGCCATTTGAATCTTGGAGGTAACCTCATTCCAGAGGGCAAGTGACAGAGAAGTGCATTTCTGGGGTCCTAATAAATGGCATTTTTAATCAAAGGAATCCAGAGCATGCCAACCCTGCCAGATTGGACTTGGTGGTCAAATACTACCTGCTGTCTCTGGGCCCTTCATTGTTTTGAAGAACATTATATAGAGGGAATTAGTGGAGAAAAATAAAAGGGCAGGACTAAAATTCAGAAGTAGGGCACAAGAGGCGTATTGTCAGGCCCAGCCCAAGAACAATGATGAAACAGTCCAGACAAGTATAGTTCCTTTGCTTACATGTTATAGACAGAATCTTGCCAAACTAAATCTATACTACAGCAAATAGTGGATATACCCTGGGAGATTCTAGGGAGTGGCAACCCTGAACCTCTTACTCCTCCCATGCTCCTCCCGTGGACTGTGTTGTCTTTTGTTTCCTTTCCCCTGCTGGAATACACCCCCTCTTTCCTGATAGCCTTGATCTCCCACATCACTTTCCTCCTCATAGATATATTCCATCACACGTATGGATTCAGTCTTTAATATCTCCAGGTGAAAGAATGAAATAGAAACCTTTCTCTGGAAAGACATTGCCATTTGGAGTAGACACAATTGATCGCATTGACAAATAATTTGATCTAAGACAGCTTACCATGGACATAGAGAAGACATTTGCAGGAGTTGGGGGTAATATTGTTCTGCCTCTTTACATTTTGACATGTGTTTTTTAGTTGCCTGGTTCATATGCGGTGCTTTGACAAGTCTGTTTTCATATTTAGTTTTCCAAGCTTTATCATGGTGTGAAGCGTTCCTCCAATCCACCCCACATATTTGCAACTGCAGATGCTGCTTACCAAGGAATGATTACTTTTAACAAAGACCAGGTAGGAAAACATTTGCTTTTTTTAATACTTAAAATTATATGCATGACACAGGAAAATACTTCATTTTTTTAGACTTGAGATTGATTAAACTTTGTCAAACATGCTGTACAGAGTTTAATGAGTTTTTGAATCATGAAGGTCATAATTCTGTTTTAAACGTAGCTGGTAATAGAAATTTCTATGTAAGAAATCTGTGTAAGATTCTTAGTAAAGTATATTTAAAAATATAATGGATTGGTTTTGGAGTTAGTCCTAACTACAATTGAGCCATTGAAATCAAAGACAGTCATAGTCATGATTAATTTACATTTCAGTGATTCATTGAGTCTGTTCTTGTAATGGAAGGTATGTGCAAGGAGGATACTGGAATGGAAGATCAAGGCTATCAGGAGGGAGGGAGTGCATTCCAGGAGAGGGTGCAAGGCAAGCACTTTCTCAGTCCACAGCAAGACCGTGAGAAGAAGAAGAGGCTTAGGCTAGCCCCTCCCTAGAGTCTCACTGGGTATATCCACTAGTTGCTTTAGCATAGATTTAGTATGGCGAGATTCTGTCTTTAGGGTTTAAGCTAGTAAAGGAACTAGACTGGACTGCCTCATCACTGTTCTTGGGCTGGGCCTGACAGTTCTAACTAAATCTGTATCAAACCCATCCATGAGTATAAAAAACACAGGTAGTCCTAGCTTAGTGACCACTCATTCAGCGACTGTTCAAAGTTATGATGGCGCTAAGTGAGGAGACTTAAAATCAGTCCTTGAAGTTGTGGCCATTGCAGCGTCCCCGCAGTCATGTGATCACAATTTGGGTGCTTCGCAATCAGCACGCATTTACGATAGTCGCAGCATCCCGCTGTCACATGATCGCCATTTGCGACCTTCATTGTCAGTTTCCAACAAGCAAAGTCAATGGGGAAGACAGCAGGAAGTTGCAAGTTGTGGTCACATGATGTCACGCTTAACAACTGTGCATGATTTGCTTAATGACCTCAACCAGAACTGCTGTTGTAAGTCAGCATGGTCATGTAATTTTTCGTTCTATGACCATGTCGCTTAGCTATGGAGTTCCTAGTCCCAATTACAGTAATTAAGGGAGGACTACCTGTAATAACTGAGAATCAGAGGCATCTGAAAGATCTGATGTTTTTGTCAAAATGACAAAAACAGTGTTGTGCCTTCATGAAGCAAGCTCCATGATGTTCAAAGAAGTGAAGCTTGTGTTGCTGTACCACAAGGCTGTTTTCATTGTTTCCCTGTACCCCGGAGACATATGTGCTGGAAATGTATATCTTATAAGCTATTTCATTTGTAGCCTTTTTGAGCACACACTCTTGGACAAGCATAGGTTTATTTCTATGTAATGTGTGAAATGGCCACAATAGCAGTTACAAGCAGATGATTAGAAGATAATTGATAAATGTATGCTATTGCTTTAAGTTTGTTTCAACTATTTTTCTTATATCACTTGTTCATTCCTTTGATGAATATATTTTACATGGCAACATATGCAAAGTAAGAGCCATGCTTGGGTGTACTCAAAAAGTCATAATTGTTGCTGTATAGATAATTACCTGTATGATACAAAGTAAATAACAGAATATTTTCAAATTGTATCTGAGATTCCATCTGATTAAGAGCTTTTCCAGTGTATTGGTTTAATCTCATTTTCCTGTATTACACATCTCATAGAATCAATAAAGAAGCTGCATTTCTTTTTAAGGTTTGTGTGGCTGTTTTGTATCTCCCAGCTGTCTCTGTATGCAAAGAATTTGCACATACTAGCAGGGTATGTCCAAACTTCATAAAAAAGCTGCAGATGTGATATAGCTTGATTTCAGCAAAGTTGAAGCAAAGATTTCTTATAATATCCTTGCTGACAGTTGACTAAATGTCAGTTGGGTCCTACTGTTATTTGGTTGAACAGCTGTTTGAGCAACCATGCCAAACCCATTCTCATTCGCATCTTTGCATCAGCATGGAGCTAGGTCCTGGGAGGAACAGGGTCTGTCCGAAGCCATGGACTGCTCAGCGGTTTTATAAGCTAAATGTACGAATCTGAAAGAGGGCTTCTAACAATTTTACAGATGACACAAAGATAGGTAGCCAGTGTTATAGAGTGTAGGTCTTGCATTTTAAAAAAAATCTAAGACACTTATTGTAGATGGGAGAGATATCTTGTAGTGATATACATGAGAACAATCTGATAATCTTAGTAATAAGCTGAATGACATGGTGAAGACTGAAAAACTAATAGTCTGAGGTTGCATTAACAGAAGGAGGATAATTTCTGGGTCATGGAATGTAATCTCTACACTAGCCAGACCTTATCTGGAGAAATATGTCAGTTCTTGGCACTATATTTTAGGAGGACATTGACAAAAGTGGAAAGTGCCAGAGATGAGCAGCCAGGATAGTGACAGGGCTAAACTAATTGGGTGTTGAAGGAAGAAGGAGAAAGGGGGAGGGGGTAGGAGACAGCAATATTGCTTTAGAAAGAGAGAACTAAGATTTTCCTCCAACCTCAGATATAAACTGGAATTTGCAGGATGAAGTATTTCCAAGTAGTAAATTAACACAGTGGTAACATTTGTTCCAAAGCTAGTCTTCTCTAGAACAAAAGGGAAAGTTAACTTACTACTTGCATTAGAATTTGAGCTTTAATCTGTTTACTTGTGTTGCACTTTATCTTTTATTGTCTCTGATATCTATATTTTTTGTACATGCTGAATAAATTGTATGTTTTTAATGCAACTTGGTACTTCTTTACATCAGAGTTGCTTCTGTAGTACTATTAGATCTGTCATCATCTGCCAGAATCTTATATCATCCTTAATCTTACTATGGGAACCCTTTTGACATATGTTTATGTTTTGAACAATTCTGTGTTTTTATCACTTTTGCCACTGAATATTTTGCATGTGACTACTTGAAGTGGAAAAAGGAATATTTACATTTTCTTTTAATTTTTTAATACATAAATTTTATTTAACACTTGAGAGATTGATCTGTCTTCAAAGGAGTAAGTGCTGATTTTCCTAGTCATAGCCTCATGCTACAAGTGTCAAGGGAAAGGACTCCAGTTAAAGGCATCCTTTTGGAAGATCAGTTTCTACCAAGTAACTACCAAGCACCTACAGCAAGGCAGGAAAGTGGAGCCTGGATATGTATACTCAGAGGGCTTCTGAGAGAAAAGGATAAGACTCCAATCTTTCAGCAGTAGGATCAGCTGGACACTTGGGACAGTCCCAAACCATTTTTCTTTCTTTTTTTCTTCTTTATTTCCAGTTTTTTAAAGGGACATTAATGTTTTGTGCCTGACACATAGGCAGGAGTCTAACCTGCGTAAGGGAGATGGGATTTCCCCCTTCCCTTTTTTTTTTCTTTTTCTGAAATTCTTTTTCTCAGAGATATAGAGGAACTTGCATAAACAAGAGTTATTTTTATTTTTAGCTTCTGAGTTCAAGAGGATAAGAACTCTTTTGTATGCTACTGAGAAGTGGGAAGACAACTTTGCCTGTATAGCCAAGTAGAAGACATCTAGAGATAGAAAGCATGTCAAACGCAAGGGGGTAGGTGGCTTGCCACGCCAATGAGGCAAAATGAACCAAACGCTACAAATGGAACCCATCAATCCACTTGAATTAAAGAAATTGGAAACAAATAGAGTTGGAATTTCAGAGGGAGATGGAGGAGAACCTTTAAAAAATTGTAACTGGAGAAAAAGTAAAGATTAAAAAGGTTAGAGATGGAAAGAAAGGGGTAGAGATAGAGTGGACATATCAGTTGTAAAGGGAGAGGTTAATGAGCAGAGTGCCTTTTTCCGCAACCAATCAAACACTTCCCAGCAGTTTCTTTGAAAAAGTAGAAGTTTCCAGAATACAAGGTGAGGATCCTGGCCCCTTCCAACGATTTTGAAAGAACTTGCCTCAGCTCTAAGTTGGGAGAAAATCAATATTTGAAGTTTCTGAGACACCTATATTTGGTTGCCTATTGATAGTGCCTTATGAAATGGCCTGTGGTGAAATACATCAAGGGTTTTCAAACTTTTTTCTGAACCTGTTAGTTTAAAAAAAAAAACACCCAGAACTCTTGATGAAGAGGCAAAGCTCTAGCAATAGGAAATTGGCTGCATCCAAATGAACTTTTGTCCTGTCTCTCACAGAACCCCATCAAGTTCTCTGGAACCCTAGGGTTCCATGGAACACAGTTTGAAAACTGTCACCACAATGCACTATTTAAGACAATGGTTCTTAAACTGGGGGTAATTTGGATGTATCCTGAGAGTAATGGAGTAATTTGTAGTTGCTTGTTTGTGAATCAAGGATCCAGTCTGGGATTGCCACTGCTGAGACACTTGTGTAAAACATGAGTCTGTTTGGGGTTTTTGGTGATAATGAATTATGTGAGACCAGAAAAGAGGTAATTGGGTTAAACGGTTTAAGAACCACTGATTTAAGAAAATGGTGAACTCCAGACTATATTAGGATTGACAGCTGAAAGTTCAAGAACTACACTCAGGTCTCTATAGCAGAAGGCACCTGATCCGCATCAGACCTTCACCTACAATATGAATAGAGTTTATACTACCTGATGTGAATGTGCAGGACCCAAGACAGCCAAGGAAATATTTGCACTGATGCAACTTGAACAATTCATGGCCCAGATACCAGACCAGATCTATAATTAAGTCTTTCTAATGGTATACAAAACCATAGACACAGAGGGAGAGATGGACCAGCAACTGGTAGAAGTCAGACCTCAGGGGACACTGAAAATGTACCAATGTGACCACTCCAAAGTGAGGTGAGAGGACAATCAACCAGCCCAACAAAATTAACCAGGGAGCCACACCCCATCTGATGCCAGTCACTCCATGTCAGATATCAGCTACACCACATCAAGCAACACACAATCTATAACCAGACCCAACTCCATATGCTTCAGATGTGGAGACAGTAGAACTTTTCAGGAAAGATTGTTCCAAAATAAAGGTCCAGTAAACCAAGTTGAGTCCAGAAGCTTTGGGCTGGGGAAACCTCCCAGTAATGACTTTCCTAAATTCAGTGAGGATGCTATTCCACCTCTAAAGCAAGTGGCTGTGCACCCAGAAGTGGCCTGGATGATACTGGAGTTACAATCTCTGTTACGCATACCTCACTTGTCAAGGACCAACAGGCACAGGCAACATGAATGCAAATGCATCTTGGCCAAAGGCAAAGCAGAAGCTACCTCAGTTAAACTACTTTGTCAGTGGAAAGGCTGGAAAAGGGAGTGGGAATTGCTGTGAAGGGGAACCATTCTTATGCAGTGCTATTCAGGGAAGATTTAGCAAAACGCATATGGGAGACCGTCCCACTAAGGAGAAGAATCAGGAGTTAGTCAAACTGGACGTCCTAACCTTGATAACAAGGGATCACCCAGACCCTACCTTGGAACTGGGGACACATTTGTAGGAGATTCAGCCAGGGCAAAGGAGCCACGTCCAGGTCTAGGCTTTGAGTAAAGCATTAAGGTAAAAAGCCAGGTGCCATGGAAACCATTTCTGCCTGTGCTTAGGTCAGATCAGTAATCATCAGGCTTTGTGACTAGAAGTCAGAAAATAAGAATGGTTAATTCAAATATTAATTCATTTTCATAGTAACACACAGTTGGGATATTTCTGATATAAATGTAATGAAAACACAAATTCAGTTATATGGTCATGATTTTAAAGAAAATGGAATGCAGCATTGCAGAATTGGGAATCGTTATGTCATAAAGATTGTAATCTTCCCCTACTTGTTTTGTATGAAATATGGCAGAGAGAGATGACTATTGACTAAAACAAAAGCCAATACATTTAGTTAGGGATGCTGTTTGTAGGATGTCTACAGTAACTCTGATGGTGTATTTTTAGATATACTATACATTCTAAAAAAACTCTAGAAAATAAATACAGGCATATCACTATTTGGAACAAAGAGAAAAAGAGGTGATGTGCAGGGATTTTCAAATATATTATGCTTGGTGACTGTTAGGAGGAACTTTTTCTGGTTTTTTTTTTTCCTTAAAAGTAGAACAACCAATAAGTACTATGAATAGTCGTTCTTCTAGGATGCTCCAGGACAAGCAAGGTAGAGTTCAACTAAATGGGCAGCTGCTGCCAAAAACATTAATCATGCATTTGGCTTCCTTCCTCTACCATAATACCTGGTGGAACTTGTAGACTGGTTAGATTTATGTTTCACTCTTCATCAGTTTTTCAGTGGGTCATTAAGTAAAAAAAAATCAGTCTGTAAAACACATTAATACAAAAAAATTAATATATTCCAGCATTAAAGAGCAGTGTAAGCAGGAAAGCCAGTCTGGTCTAGTGGTTAAGGCTCCAGGCTAGAAAGCAGGAGACTGTGAGATCTACTCCCGCATTAAGCATGAAAGCTGGCTGGGGGACTTTGGGCCAGTCATTCCCTCTCTCTTAGCCCACGATGTCAGGCTCAGGTGACAAGCTGGCTGGTCAATTCCTGTCACAACTAAAGGGATCAACATTTGGTTGATCTGAAAAAAAGTAGACCCTGCACTTGCGGGAAAAACACTGGGAACTAAAAAAAAAAATCAGAGCAGTATAAGTTATTGGATGTTGTTATGCTATGTTGTTCTTCATTTTTTTATCATTGCTCCATGCTAGTGCCTTAACCTGTAAGGGATAAAATGTCATATCGTTGCAAATTTGGTATGTCAGATGGAGAAAGTGCAGCCAAGAGCATCGCTACTATTTTCACAGTGGTGGTCATGTATTTGATACAAGGTCTGATTTGGCACTTGCACTTTCTCTACAACCCAGCTCACTAGAGCCTGGATACAAACTGGCCAGCACAGGGAAAAACCTATGTAATTGTAGGAAGTAGCCTGTGTAAGCAAAAATTGTTTCCAAGATAGCCAGAGAGGTTGCATCCTAATATTGTCAATTCCATGGGCATAGTGGCTGTTAGGAAGTTTTCACCCAGCTGCATTGTTTGAAACAATCCCAGATTATTATGTTTGTTTGATTCACCTCCCCAATTCTGCATGCCATTACTTCATTGGGAGCAGCCACATCCCGATGCTGAAGGTTTCAGTGGACATTCTTTAAAAAAAAAAAAAAAAAAACCTCTAAATTTTACCAGCAAAATAGTTTATTTTCCTATTTGTCACTACTGTACAGGGTCATTCATTATGTAATCACAGAGTCTAATGTCACTAATACAAATGCATCCTGCAGGAGCATTTGTAGAAGGGACAGAGATCCAGTAGAGGTTCTCACTGAAGGAATTTGGCAGAGACAGAAATTTTAGCCAATTCTCTCTGTATTCTCTATTATCAGCAGTCTAGATATAGAATAGAATAGAATAGAATAGAATAGAATAGAATAGAATAGAATAGAATAGAATAGAATAGAATAGAATAGAATAGAATATTTGTATATGTATAAGTATATGTATATGTATATATTTAATACTTTCAACTGGGCAATTTTGGAAGTTTCTGTTTTATACTGTGCATGGTTGTTCAACTCTTCAAAGAAAGTATAATTTAAGATAGTTAAATGTTTAAGGGTATGTTAAAGTGCATGTAAATAGGGATGAAAGTATATTCCTTGAGTTACAGACTATGCATCTTCACTTCTGTTTTGTATGTCAGTGCATAATCATCAGTGGAGAAAGCGGTGCTGGGAAGACTGAAAGTGCCCATCTCATTGTGCAGCATTTGACCTTCCTGGGAAAGGTATTTACTGCTGCCACATAACTCAAATTATAATACTGTAAAGTACTGGCTGCATTTGCATGCAATCTTAAACTCAGATTTAGTGCAGGGGTGAGCAGCCTCTGTCTCAACTGATTATACTGGGTTTCAATTCCCAGCCACCAGAGACAAAATGGCCAAGTTGAAGGATGCTGAGAGTTGAAATGTAGAATTATCTGGTGGCCACAGGTTGCCCACATGCTGATTTGGCAAGGATGAGCCTGAACAAATCTTTGGGTTCATGTTTATGTTTCATGTATTTTATTCCCCTCTCATTTCCAGTGTATCTTGTGACAAGGTGATTAGAAGCTTATGCTTCCAGTTTTAGTTAACTTCAGTCTAGTGTTACAATAGGTTTTGGATTCTTTGTTAAAGTGTAATAATACATATATAGTGTTAGAACAAAAATTGAAAAAAAGCAAGGTATTTATTTATTTAGTAGGTTTTTTTATATAATAAAAACAACTTTTTAGATTTTCAACTGCCTCTTGCTGATGTATTTGCTTTAAGAATAGGATGAGGATAGGAATGTTTTAAATGAAGTATGAGGGACCATATAGTTGACAGAGGAAATTCCTTGTGACCTTTTCTGTCTATGAAGGCAAACAATCGTGCTTTGCGGGAGAAGATCCTCCAAGTGAACCCTTTAGTCGAAGCATTTGGGAATGCGTGCACTGCTATCAATGATAACTCTAGCCGTTTTGGGAAATACTTGGAAATGATGTTCACACCAACTGGAGCTGTAATGGGAGCAAAAATCTCAGAATACCTGCTAGAAAAGTCCAGAGTTATAAAGCAAGCTTTGTAGGTATAATTTGGACTGTTTCACTTGAAATATTTCTTTTATTATAAAGCTATTGGCAATGTTACTTTCAACTGGAAAAGGTCAGAGACTTCTAAGTATGATTTTGACTTTGGCGCATTAATATCTGGCCTGTACAAATTATTTGGAGAGGCATTTTGCATAGTGCACCTCGAAACTCCTACTTGAAGTGCTGAGGTGGCAGTCACAGCCTACAGGTGCCTTCTGTGCACATACATGTATGCCCAGGTAATCTGGGGAGGGCTTTGAAGGAGTTGTCCAAGGAATCCAGTCATCTTGACACTTGGAACAGCAGATTCAACTATATGATGCCTTTAGTTCATGAAACACCCTTCCAAATGATTTGAACAGCCCTAATTTGTATAGGGAGTAAAACTATAGAGCTATATACATCCAGTTGCCAGTATTTTTTATTTTATTTTATTTTTTTGAATTCATACAGAAAATGGATGGGTGCAAAATAAATATTCTTTAATTGAAAGTATTTAATTTTTATTAAACATATTTATAATCTACCTGCTGTTAGAGAATCTCATGGTGAGTTATAATCTATCAAAAAAACAAGGGGAAAAGTGAAAAATAAAATAAATAATTTGATTTAAATCACACATAATAATAATGGTAACAACACTGATAGAAATGTGCTTAATGGACAAAATGCATGGTCAGGCTTTGAATGCTAAGTTCCAGATGTGAAAGGAGGAGGCCAGGTCTTTACTTGGCGCTGAAAGATAGATAAGTTTGGCACCAGGCTGGCCTCCAGGGAAAGGACAATGCTCAGAGATATCTGGCAGTAAGGCCCAACTAGGAAAGATATAATGAAAGAAATGCTAGTAGTAACAGTTCATTTCCTCTTAGCAAGTCATCCCTACCACAGTAAGGCAAATAGCCTGAAAACTATTTATTTTTCTGTGTTCCTGCTGTGTGAAAGTGGTTAAGCTTAGCAGTGAAAGATGTATACAATGTGAAGATAAACCAGAATGTAAGTTAAGCTGAAAAGTGTTGGGTTTTGTTGTTGTTGTTGTTGAACACTACTGTGCACTGGAATGTGATCCTTGGATTCTGTAAGTCCTCAAGTCCAACACAGCATTTGCAGCAACACAGTGAGCACTTGGGAACTTTGTCCTTGCTCTCTGTCCTTTCAATCCAAGGTTCAATGTACTTCAGCATTCCCCTGTAGAACTCAGAATTATGTACACAAGTCTTTATCAACCTGGTGTATTGGACTACAGAACACTTCATTCCCAGACAGCATGGCCAGCAGTCAAGGATGATGAAAAATAAGAAAATTCAGGATCCAATTTTTAATGTTAAAAAAATGTAAGGCTCTCCCACCACAGCTCAGAAGAATAGCAGTTGGCTGTTGACTGAGGGAAAGGCAAAACTCAGTAGACTTGGTTTCTTAGTAGTAACATTTCAGAGCCTTCTCTTTCCTGATGTCCTTCATCTATTCTGGGCTTTAACTCCCATCATCCTCAATTATAGAGCAGGGAGTCTGGGGCTGATGGGTTTTGCAGTCTGCACATCTGGATTCTTTTAGGTATATAAACAGAAACACTGTTAGGTGGTTTGGGGGAAGTATTGCTTCCTGAATCTGTTCTATGTACTATTTGAAATTCTCAGATTAAAGATACACCTTATTTCTATGCTCTATAGTAATTCTTTTTCTCTAACAGAGGAGAAAAAAACTTCCATATATTTTACTACATTTATGCTGGTCTTTATCATCAGAAGAAACTTTCTGAATATAAGCTCCCTGAGAAAAAGCCTCCCAGGTAATTTTTGCTAACTTATACTTATTGCTAGTTATAACTAAGTATTGATTAGCAATTTGTTTTGGTGAGATGTTTTAAAATCTACCTTAATCATTCCCCATGTCTTAAGGATCCACTGTAGTCCTCTCACGTATACAACTGTATGAGCAAGAAGAAATGCTATTATTTATATATGGTTTAATTAAATTAATCAAAAATAAAAAAAAGTTCATCTAATTATAGTTTTGCCACTCTCTTAAATTTAATCTGTTTTCCAAAATGGATGATTATAAAGTTAATGGTATGTATTAGCATTTTAGGCAAACAAAACCAAATGAATTGTTTTAAACTGGTACATTACTATTTGAGTAATTAGCAATATTAGGCCAAATTTTGCCTTTGGGTATTCTAGTTTCTGATCTCTCAAGGAGCTCGCCTTGCTCTCTCCCAACTTTGTGACTGACCCAAAATTTATCTGACTGTATTTTTTGGAGTTTTCATTTTGAAAATAATAGCATAAAATAAAAGGATAGCTAATAATATGCTGGTCATGATGGGTAGTAATGGAAAAAAGGAGATAAGAGGGAGAGGTTAAATGTGTCTTTGTACACTTTGCAAATAGTACATTTCCAATTCCTTGTAAGGGCTTCTGCTTCTAATATTTGTTTGCTCATTAGATTTCTATCCCACCTTTCATTCAGGAGCTCAAGGCAGCATACGCAGTAGTCTCTCTTCCCATTTTCTCTCCACAACAACCCAGTCAGGTAGATTGAGCTGAGAGTAGACATTTGACCCAAAGAATACATTTGTTGATTATGCAAGAATATGACAATATGTAGGAAATAGCTTTTATTTGTTGAGAGACTGCAATCTGAGTTGAACTGATAGCTATGCTAGCATAAGATATGGCTCACTGACTTAGTTGAAATAAAACTTTAACAAGGGTTTAATATGAGCTTTTAGCTCAGTCTCAGAATCATGTATAGGTTTATCGAAAGTGATCTGAGTTATGGATTTGACTTTCAGGCAGCAGCCTTATTACTTTACTTTCCAGAAACTATGCAGTATTGATCTCAGGTATCTATTTTATGCAGGTATATTGATAATGACACAGGAAAGGTGATGCATGATATTATTAATAAAGAATCCTATGGAACTCAGTTCGAAGCAATAGAGCATTGCTTTCAGATCATAGGATTTACTAAAGAGGTAAGTGATGACTTTTTACATAGCTGCCAGAGTGACATTGGCTTTGCTTTAAAAATTTATATTTTTCTGTGGGCAATTTAATTCAGGCTTATTCAATATAATATCATTAAATGAATATGAATCTGTACAATGGCGGCTGCCAGATCAGGTTCAGTTAAATCTATGTATGGCCTATACAATACTTTGTGGTTCTCCATTTGATTGGGATGAGAGTTTGCCTACTCTCATTCTTACCAAGTGAGAATAGAACTATGATGAATATCAACTGTGGAGTAGTTCCCTGGAGTTAAATCACTGAACTTGAATCAGTGCTAGACTAGAGGAGGAAGGGCCAATAACTGACACTAATAACATCTTATAAATTCCGCCAGAACCACATAATTAGCTCTGAAGCTAACAACAATAACAATAACAAAAGTTAATAATAAACAATAATAAAAGTTTCTCAATAATTTAGCTGAAGACATTTTATCAGCCAACTGTATTTAGGAATAAAGTTTGAGAAACTGATCAATTCATGATTCTACCAGCCCTTCCCCCAAACCTGCCAGATCTCATCTTAGCTTCTTTTCTGATACACTAAAATCTCTTTGAACTCTACCTTTGGTGCTCACATTGCAGCAGGAAATTTCTAGGATTTGTCTTGCATGGTGCTAGCCCACCTGTTTTGGCAGATTTCTTTTGTGGGCAGAAAAACTGGTATATAAAGAGTTAAAATAAACATTCTGGCACTACTCAGAATAAATGAATCAATCAAACAAACAAACAATACAAACTGGATGTTGAAGAGGTGTCAGTCTAAGCTAGGAATGGATATAGGATGATAGAAATACACATGGAAGTAAAGAAAAAAATGAATGACATGAATCCCCCTAGGACTATGCAGCGTGACTGTATTAGATCAGCACCTCCCAGCTTTTGCAATGACCAAAAGTGATAAAGTGTTGAATATACATTATAATCTGAGAAGAACAGCATGGCTTGATGCATCTGGATTATGGAATTATGTGCAGATAATCTATCCTCAGAAGGTATGTGTACTTCAAAGTGTTTTGTTGGAAACCTGTTTCTGTTTATAGTTCTGACCTTCCTATCATTTTCAGGAAGTTCATTCAGTGTATCGAATTTTGGCTGGGATCTTAAATACAGGAAACATTGAATTTGCTGCCATTTCTTCACAACACCAAACTGATAAAAGTGAAGTGCCCAATATGGAAGCCTTAGATAATGGTAAATATTTGCTAAAATCTCTGAATTGTCCTAATACAGAATATGCATAAGGAAATCTAATTTCACACAAGATGGTTAGCACTTTGGCTCCTATCTTACAACATCCCTGTATTTCAGCTGCTGCACTACTGAGTATTGGCTCAGAAGAACTTCAGGAAGCTCTTACCTCACATTGTGTTGTCACAAGAGGTGAGACTATTATCCGAACAAATACTGTGGACAAAGCAGCTGATGTGCGAGATGCCATGTCAAAGGCTCTTTATGGCCGACTCTTCAGTTGGATTGTAAATCGGATTAATACCCTGCTGCAGCCTGATAAAAATATATGGCAAGTTAACAATCAATAATAGCATATTTGCTTATTGAGACCTATATATTTCTTTTTATTTTACTTAAGGAGTTTACTGTTTATTTTAGATAATGCCTCAGAATGGCTTGCATGCTGTGATTCTGCATTTTTTGTTTCTGGGACATTAACTCCAGCGTTTTCAAAGACTTGATTGGGATTTAACTAAGTAGGTCAATGGGATTCACGTGGGTTAAAATCATGTCAGCTCCTTGGAAAGATACTAGAAAATGTTTTCATTACATTATCTTTTATCTTCCTCCTATTTTTCACTTTATTATCTTCACCATAAAGTAAACCTTTGGATTCAATTCTAGTCATTATCCTCTTGGGCTTAACTATCCTAATACATCAATACCAATGTATCCTTCATTCAAAAGTCTGATAATTCTGAGACCAAAAGTAACCCGTGGTTGGGTTGGATAAGCCTCTCAGCCAAGGGAAAGAAGCTTTGCCAGTGAAAGACTTTTCCCATCAGCCCCTAATTACTCTGCAAGGGCAGGTCAGAAGCAACCATTGAATCCAGCGCCCCTTAGTTCCCTTGAAAAGTACCAGGAGCGATTCACTTTTCCGTGCCAGTTTGGCGTTAACAGAAGGATTTTCCCACCCATTAATTCCAATGGAAGGGAAGTTAATAATAATGAATTTGGCTTGGCTGACATGAACCAACATGACTTTTGGAATGGTAGATGATCTACGCTGCTAAGGACTGCTCCATGGGATAAGCAACCTGATACCCTCCAGATGTGTGAATTTTAGTTCCCATCAGCTCCAACTAGCACAGCCAAATATAAGACGTTTCAGAAGTTGTAATCCACTATAACTAGAGGGCACAGGTTGCTAGTGTCTATTAGCTGCTTTATAGATTCAGTTTAAAAATGTTTTGCAGTACAATTTTTAATAAGAAATGCCATAGTTAAGTTTGTCAGGTAGGGAATCATCCACTGTAATTTTTTAACTGTGTTGGTAAATGATGATTTACTTAGGAGTGTGTATATTTGTGCATCTGATCATTTCCGCGCTAGTGATTTATAGTATCTTCATAGCCTGTCCACATTACTGTTATTTTGGCACAATGATGGTTGGATGATGTTGAAGATGCTATACATCATCTAGTGCAGAAATGGACTCTTTTTTCTTTAAGGCACTCATATTTTCAGTGCTAAGTCTTGTCCCTGAAGGAAATACTTATTGTTTTTAGTATCTCACTTCACAGTAGTATCGGAAAACAATTAAAAATAAGCACGGATTCAAAAGCTGAGCTCATAGGCCATATGATAGCCTTGGTGAAAAATAAGGAACATATTACAGTATTACATTGGATTTTAAATTTATTGGTTCATTTTCAAACAGCAATGCTGAAAGTGGAATGAATGTTGGGATATTGGATATTTTTGGATTTGAGAACTTCACAAGGAACTCATTTGAACAGCTGTGCATAAACATTGCAAATGAGCAGATCCAATTTTATTTTAATCAGCACATATTTGCACTTGAGCAGGTAAGTTTGTAGCAAATTCTGTAGGCTAGGCTTGAGACTTGTAAGACCAGTGAACCAAAGGAGATGATTTTTGGTATGAAGTTTATGACTTAATCTGTCCTCTTTGAAAATAAATGTTTTCCCAGAAGGAGAAAAAGCCTTCACCATATGAATTTATATGACACATACACAACTTCTATGAACACTGTACTATATATAGCAATTAAAATTTGATATCTTTTTTACATATTAAACAATGTATTTATAATACATTGTTTTTGCATGCCATTGTATGCTATTACCTTAAAGAAAAGAGACTGTTCTTTCCACAAAGCAGTAGAACTATAAGCAATATATGAACTTTAAATATATGAAAACCAGGAACAATTGTAAGAGAAGCTGTTTCCCAAATAGTAATTAAAAAAAAAAATCACTAAGCACCAACATGTTTTGAAAATTGCCTGCCTTATTCTTTCCTCAACTTTGCAACTAGATGGGTAAGAAAGGCCAGATTGCTGAGATGAATATTCACATAGTGATATTTATGACTTACTAACTTTTGTAATATTTTAGATGGAATATCAAAATGAAGGAATTGATGCTGTCTTAGTTGACTATGAAGACAACAGACCACTCTTAGATATGTTCCTTCAGAAACCAATGGGGTTACTTTCTCTACTGGATGAAGAAAGCCGATTTCCCCAAGCAACAGACCTAACTTTAGTTGGTATGACCTGTCCAGAAATCCCAAATTGTTACATGTATACAGAGAAGAAAAAAGCAAGAGAGCAATTAATATCTTTATAAAGTTTAAATCCATGCTGACTGCGCTAAACTCTTGGAGTCAACTGATTAAATTGTTGAGTATTTTTATAATAATTACAGATAGACATCTCCATATAATAAACAGTTATTAATGGAAGCAAGTGAATGCATATCAGCTCAGCTGATATGTGAATGCAAATCACATTTGAGAGCTTTCTGCTGGTTAAGCAATTCCTGAATAAGAAGTTACATATATGGAGAATTGAGCAGAGCCTTTATGAAGCTAGATGCATAGAAAACTGCAGCAGGAAGAGATAGTTACTTAAAAACTGGGAAAAAGTCCTACCCCCATTAGAAATACACTATGCTTCTGCAGCACTATCTTGGATCTCAGCTGTTATATTTACCTGTCCAGCTGTGTGAGAAATAAATGAAAGTTACATCTTAGAACCATTTTTGTAACCAATATTTAGACTGATGTGTCTCGTAAAAGAATTTCCTTATCAGGCCAACTGACATTTATCCCATCGAGAAAGATACTCAAAAATTGATATTTTCTAGGGTTATCATATGGAGATATATGGACAGTTTTCCAACAATTTCTGAATGCAAAGACTGGGTAATCCAAAATCAGCTGTGTCATTCAGTAATGGAATCAGGAAAGTACCATAAATGGGTTTTGGCTCCTTGTTTACTTTGTTGGTTAACTGTCTGCACCCCACCTGAGTTGCAGAAACTGCTTGTTGCCCATTTTGTGCCAGCTGATCAAACACTAGGAATTTGCACAACCTACCCTAGACATCTGCCAATATTGGAACTAGAGTTCCAAATTGCTGCTCAAAGAGACTTTTCTGTTTTCAGTGATGATAACTAAAAATAGTGCCACACTCTGCTTTTCTGTTATTGGCTAAACTGAGAGTTTTTGCTTTCATTTCCATATATCAGTAAGTCAACTAACTCTGTTGCATATCTAAAATGAAACAACTGTAATAAATCAACTGCAGAAAAAAATAATAAAGTTACCAAACATAGCAACCATTTAGTAAAGCTGATATAAGCATAAAATATTAGAGGTTTTTTCTCAATATTCTGAGTCTTCCCTCTATCCACAAATTGTTTTGAGATCCTTATGGAACTATTGTGGCATAATGATTCAGAGAATGAACTAAAGACTAGGAAATTTCTAATTGAAATTTCACTTCAGGAATGCATTTATTAAGTGATATTAGGGAAGACAAATCTGCTTTTTTCTGAGTCTCTTTCCATCATCAGTACTATGGTGATAGTATTAACCTATCTTACAGGAACATACAGTACAATAGATATAGAAAGCTATATGTTTTGTGAGTTTTGTTATTATATATTGATATACAGAAAATCTGGTAAAGCTTAAAGTGATATTGTGATATTGAAATTGTGCTTCAGATTAGAAAAATTCAGATTAGAAAAAGGTAATAAAATCTCATATGAGTTTTACAAGTTAGCCTGAAAAGGTGGCTGGTTTATTACTTGTGGGCCCCAGAAAGCAAGTCTGCATTCTCTTCCTTCTTTCTGCCTTAAATGAGTGGATAATTCCATACATATCCTAAATTATCAAAGTTTCAACATTGCCAACTGTCCCCTGCTTCACCTATCTAGACATCATTTATTACAATCTAAAACAAAAGCCACACCATTAAAAGAATAGTAAAACTACTAAACTTAAAAACTAAATTAAAATGATGTGTTTTCAAAATAAAGAAGTGAGAACTAGTTGCAATTACAAAAGGAATTTCTTTTATGGTTTAGGGGCAATGCAGGAAAAGCCATTTCCATATGCCCAGTGAGCATGCCTCTGTGAGATAGGCATTTTCAGGGGGATTAGACCTATTCATCTTAAAATCTGAGAAGCATATGATAAACGTCAGGACTATTTCTTAGGACTCTTCCCCACAGATGCATTAATGTGCATTGCTCCAGTCTCTGAGTTGGCAGAAAAATATGCTAACATAATTTGCACTGTCCTGATGACTGAGTTCTAATCTGCCTAAGTCCTTATATCTTTAATGCAGGACAATTTAAGGGCAGCAATTGGTAGATTCTTTTGGCTTTATTTCCCTTCTCACTCAGTGTCAGCAGCTGGTGGGAAAATTACCACCAATTGCTTTCCTTAAAATGCAGTGGATTGAGCATGGACAAATGCCTAGACTCGTGGGTCTAGTCACCTTCCAAGTTGGGCAACTAAAGCCTGGGTGACAGGTTGCCAATGTAGAGATGCTTCGGCTATTTTTTACCAGGAGTCTACATGTCTTCTGAAAAACCAATAGACCTGTTTCCCAAAATAGCCAGTTGATAGATTGGTGGTATGGAGGAGAGTACAGAGTAGTGTGAAAAGGCTTCTACAGCTTCATCTCAGCCCACTCTCTATCCCACCAATCAGTCAAGTGGGCTATTTTTGGAAACAGATCAACAGTACAGTATTCCAGAAGCCTGGTAGATAGGTTTATTGTCTTCAGCTCCCAAATATCCCAAATCAGTAAGTGCTCAGAAAACCTTTGATGCATTTATTTGGGACAGGGCAAGCAATACATCTTTTTCCCAGTTCAAACTGACCAGCAACCCTCTTTTGAAAGATCACTGAACACATATTTCATAACCAGTCAGTGGTCTTCCAGAAAATTGGTATAGAATAGTATAGAACCCCAATAATTCCTGAATGCAGAGTATGTGCCAGGCATTACATGAATAGGCGTCTGGTTTCTCCAGCAGGCCAGGCCAGTGCCTAGTGTCTGGAGTGGAGGGAACATACCTACAGCAGCCTCAGTCAGTAGGAGTTTAGCAGATGGCAACCTCTGACCCCCTCGCAATCAGAATTAGGAATGAGTTATCATATATCATCTGTAGGCCACAATTTATATTTGGAGAAGATAGAAAGCAGTACTTTAAAAATGGAACAACCAAGGGTGAATTTAGGCTGCTTCCACAGTAGACTGGGGATATACCTTAAAAACAGTTAGAAAATCATCTTTGTGCCATGACTAGCAGGTTGTGTGAAACAGCCTTTAGATTACACTGAGATTGGTATGTCCTTCAAACAGAGGATTACTTTAAATACAGCACTGGATTCTGTAAACTTGGTCACATAGCTACCATGCAATGGAGAGTTAGCCTGAGGAGGTTTTTCACAGAAATACAAGAGAAAAGTGATTTACCTATGTTGCTGAGCTAATTACTATGTTAGGTAAATGGCAATAATACAGAATAAAAAACATCATGGGAGCAATGTAGGCTGCAACTGGTATTGAGGGGGAAATAGTTCTGATTATATGGCCAGGAAGCAATTATAATGGGCAAGGCTGATTTGCAATCCAAACAATGGACCATTTTTAATATTTCTAGTTCTGATATTCAGAAAGTAAATACAAATAGTCACATAGAAGAGAGAAAAGAAAAATGGCTATTGATATACAAAAGAGGAAAAAAGGAAAAAATCAGTAAAAACATTATTAGGAAACTACTTGATTACAGGTTATATTTTTCCCTTCCATTGTACCCTGACTGATAATTGCAATCAATATGTAGTATTTGTAAACATTAGGAATTGTTTCTGATTTCTATTTATTCTATACCTTTCATCTGTTTTGGTTTCTTTCCCCTTTGAAACCATGCTCTAAATATCTGAATTTGCCTTGTTGGGTAATATATGAGGGAGCCAGTCTTGCCTGAATTTAGTTACATTTCGATTTTGAATCTATATCATTAGTTTTGCAATTGCTGTGTATTCTTCAGGTTTGGTTTCCCAATCTGATATCATCAGCAAAGTATCTCTTTTCCAATGTGAAAAGATTTGTCCTTGTGGCCATCAAAGGAATGGACCGTTAATGTAGTGTTCTTTTTTTTAAAACAAACAGATAAATTTGAAGATAATCTGCGATGCAAGTACTTCTGGAGACCCAAACGAGTGGAGCTCTGTTTTGGCATTCAGCATTATGCTGGAAAGGTAAAGTTATATAACTTGTACTAAATTCAAATGTAATAAATTATCCAGTCCTTAGATTTCCCTTAAATGACTTTCAGGTTATTTTTCTCTGCTTAATGTTTTTAATGAGTTTACATTTTAAAATTTGGAAACTGTTTTGCAACCTATGGTATTTTAGCCTCTGATGACCAACAGGACTGAGTTGGATGGTACAGTAGACTTCAGATACCCTCAATCCATTTGGCAGGGCATTGATTCTAATTCTTGATTTAAAATATGGTGGTACATCTGCAGCTCATAGTATTGCTGGTCCCCTTCCTCCTTATCTGTCCCCTGGAATTGCAGCTGCTCCTGTTGCTGTCCATTTTATGAAGTGCCTTGTTTCTTTAAGGCTGAAGGCCACAGTCTTCTCAGTGCAGAAGTCAAAACATCTGCTGTTTGGTCCCTTCCTTTATGGTTGCCAGGCTTTACGAGGAACAGAACATTTCATAAAAACAAACTCTTGAAAAGCTCAGTGACTAGAGAACTTTGTATCAGGCTTGACAGAGAGGTCTCTGTATCTGGTAGGTCATCCAGAAACAGGGTCTTCTGCAAAATCAGCAATGGCTGCAACACTGAGATTTCAGGAGAAAAAGGAGAAGCAAAAAGAGATGGGGAGCAGAGAAGTTTAACTTTTCTTGTATAGCAAGTTGTACTGAGATTGCTGAAGAGGGAAAATAGTTGTGGGTATGTGCATATGAAAATAAGTACACATACTGTAAATATGTGTGGGTGACTGAGCACTGCACATGGCCATGGAAGGAAAAGTTGCCCATCCTTTACTTGAAGTACTACAGGTGACAGAAGCTTGTGGGAGCCTGTTTCACATTTAACTCCCACATTTTATAGGTTCAGTATGATGCTTATGGCTTCCTTGAGAAGAACAGAGACACCCTTCCTGCTGACATAATGGTGGTATTGAGGACTTCAGAGAACAGACTTCTTCAGCAGCTATTTTCAAGCCCTTTGACCAAAACAGGTACAACTCATCTGAAGTCTGTTAAAAAATAAGGGCTTCCCATTGGATAAGTGCTCTGCATTCTGAAATTGACCTGGGGTTTTAAAAGACTCTTTTATAATTGCTTATTATTAATTTCTTTCATCCATATTTTCTAAGGAATGGAATATGAGAAGAAACATTAATGTGTGCTCTATGTGTCCCTCTTATGGCTTATTAAACATGTGTTTTATGATCATTTTTAAACCACAGGTATGGAGTTTACTATTAGAAATGTATTTACTGAAATAAGGCTTGTAGTGACAAAGTAAATGCAGCATTTAGAGTGAAAGAAACTAACAAGCAAAAAACCACCTGCCAGAGAAATTGGGGGAGAAACCTATCTCTATGGTTTGTATAACCCATACACCCCCCTCCCACCAAAGGAGGCCAGACCCTGGCCTCTTTTCTTTATTGGTGCCGCAAGGTGCCAAATTTATATTGCCCTATGGGGAGCAACTTGTGCCTCTATTCCCTAGGCAAGGGGGAGACAAGCTAATGCCGGGTCACACCAGGATTAGGGCCCTGTACTTCAGCCTTTGAGGCCTTGAACTTCCAATTATGGCAACTGTGGAACTGATAAGAACAGCATCTCTCTGTCCCATTTCCCAGATACACCTGGATTTGACTGCCTATGTGGCATTAGTTAGAATCATAGCATCACAGTGACAGAGGTGTGGATTGTGCCAGTGTTTTTAGTTTTTGTTATTATTTTTTTAAATATATGTTCAATTTTAGTACTAAATGATCAGAGCTGTATAGGACAGAAATAATACACACAGATAAATTTAACCAGTTTTATATTTTGTTTACAATTTTGTTTCATATGCATATGCTTATATTTCTGTTCTGAACCATGTTTGTTGTGGAACCTGCAGCTTTAGATAAAGAGTAGCATGAAAATTAGAATTCATAAACAGCCAAGCAAAATAGATATGTCTGAGAGCAAGTATAGTGCCATGTCTGCTAGCTAGCTAGCTAATTTGACTTGGATGCTGCCCGACTCCAGTCAACTCTGGATGACTCACACGTTAAAAACAAAACAATAAATATACAATAAAAAAGAACATATAACAATAACAGATGGCAAGTTTGGCCAACAACACATACATGTCATACATCCATAAGGGGCTCCCACCACTCTAGTCCACAGCCTGGGAGAAGAGCCAGATCTCTGAAATGCCATCGGGGTCGGAACCACCTGGATCTCAGGGAGAAACTCATTCCAGAGGGCAGGTGCCATGACAGAAAAGGCACACTTCTGAGGTCCCAATAGATGGCACTGCTTAATAGAAGGAACCCAAGGTGTGCCAACCTGTCAGATTGAACTGGTCAGGCTGATAGCACAAAAGACAGGTGGCCCCTAAAGTAATCAGGCCCTATGCCATGTAGGACTTCATACATCATAACCAGCACTTTGAATTTCACCTAGGAGCAAACTGGCAGCCAGGGCAGCTCCTGAAGCAGTGGTGTCACATGGGTATACCGAGGCATGCCCATCACTGTCCACACCACTACATTCTGGACCAGTTGAAGCTTCCAGGTGGTCTTTAAGGGCAGCCCTGTGTAGATTGTGTTGCAGTAATCAAGCCATGAAGGTGTGTTTGACTAGGGTGTGATTGACTGTGTGAAGGGCCTCCTGATATAGGAAAGTGCGCAACTGGCACACCAGATGAAGCTATGCAAAGCTCTTTTTGGCCATAGCTGCCACCTGCTCATTGAGTAGGAGCTGTGAGTCCAGGAAGACCCCCATATTTCAAGGTTTAAGATGGAATATCCCCAGATCTGGGCGGCCTTAACATCCACAGCCACTTAGATACTCAGTTAATATGTAATTGAGCTATGAATAAGGAGGTCCTTGATTTGAATGTCATTAATCAGTTAGCTTACTACTGACTTTATCTTAACTTCTCCCTCCCTCCCCCCTTCAATATGCTACATGGGATTTAATATTAAGAGTTATTAGCAGGTTACAGAAATTGTTTCTTTTCAAATATAACTGAATGCCAACTCCTAGCAGCCCTCATCACTGATCATTGTGAATCTCCAGGAAGCTATTAATTCAATAGTTCCTGCAGGACTACAACTTTTCTACCTTTGATTTACTAATATATTTCAGCTAGGCAATGCATAAGCACTCTGAACAGGTAAGTGGGCTAGATATATTGTTATTTTATTAACTAATAACAAAATAGGCACCACAGTTGAAAATAATGTTATTCCTACTCATAGACAATTTTATGTTGGATGGGGAAAGTATCTGGAGCTTCTCTCTCAATAATCTCATCTACTGTAGCCATATATGGAAAAAAAATCCCTAAAATACCCTGGTCTTAGCCATACCAGGGGGAGGGGGATGTGGGTGCAGTATCTTAATTTAGCAGAGAGGAAAATGAGAGATAAGGGAGCTATATTTTATGTCCCTGCAGATTAGTACCTGAGAAAAATTATGCTTCTTTCATTTTAGATCTGCTGAAGTGTGCAGATAGAAAGACCAGGTATGAGAGGGTAGAGACCAGTAGTTATAAAGTGATAAAATACCAAAACAACATTTATTGTATTTCTGTAAACATTTTATCAAAGGTAGTAAGAACTCTGCCACTTCTACAGAAAAAGAAGCTTCAGGAATAAGTTTGCAGATGGCCTTCAAAACATCTTCACAGGAATAATATAATAGTAATTTACCAGTCATAGATGCAAAATTATGATGCTGTTAATGTATCAGATGGCAGATCTTCTAATGTAAGAGTTTTTATTTTGTTCTCAGTAATGAATCTACTTCATCTTATTTTGTTCTTGATAATCTGATAGTGAAATTAATTTCAGAAGACACAGAACATGTCATTAATATACTATTTGAGGAGGGGGATGTTTCAGGGGAAGGGATAGTAAAGCAGAAGATCATTGGAGCAAGAAAATATCTGCCCCTGCTCTGTGCTGTTTGGGATATTCCTAAGTGTTACATTAATGCTCCTGTGACAAAATTAGAAAAGAATCAATCATTAAATCTATTTCACAAAGACAGCAAAATTAATTTTAATTAAGATACTGTAGTTGTGTTCACTGACAGTGCTGGTCGGCGCAGTGGATAATTTTCAGTGCTTAGCTTAGAGAAAGGGTGGTCAGGAGGCAATTTCTACATGTGAAATTGCTGAGATTTCTTAGTGCTGCATACCAAACTATTATCTCAAACTGATTAATGTTCAGTAAGAGGCAGTTCACGTGTATAATTGTGATTGTTGATAAATTGTCAATTGATGCCATATGGCCTACATTCAAATAATAATTCATGCCATCATAAAACTTGGCTTAGGAACCTCTGTAGATTCCTAAGGGTGTGATATTGCCCTTGCACTTCCTTTCTTCTTACTGTGTGCCAAACCACTAATCCACAATGTCTCCATCTTGTTAAAAAGATTCACCTTTACTTTACTGGTCCTCATCCAGCTTTTTACAACATCCAGACACTGCTCCATTACCTGCCCTGCCTCACCTGACTGATGACATTAATAGAGCTGGGTAGCATTAGCATACTCGTGGCACCCAATCTCAGCTTCACTCCCAACATCCTGATGATCTCACAACTGCTCCATATAGATTTTAAACAATAAGAGTGACATAATGGATCCCTGTGAGACCCTACAGCCCAGCAACCATAGGCCAAGCGGAACCCTTCTAGTGTGGACTGGGTAAAGAGGAGGGGAACCATGAAATAACACTGCCTCCTATTCCAGCCTCAGGGTACCATGGTGGATGGTCTCAAAAGATATCCAGAAGGATCAATAGAGTTGTTCTCTCCATCTTTCCCCTAGAGTAGGTCACCCATTAGGGTGATCAAGGTAGCTCCAGTGCTAAATCTTGACCTGAAACTATCTGGAATGGGTTCAGATAGGGGCTGAAACAAGATGGGGTCAGTTGTGATTGCAGTTTATAGATGTTTCTAAAGCACTGTTGTTTTCTAAAGCCTGTGATTAGCCCAAAGGACTTGAAGTACTTGCAGTGTAAAGCAGAAAATTCACACTGTTCCTATGTGCAAAGTAGATTTATTGTAGAAAAGCTGCAGAAAAAAAAAAGAATCTCAAAGTACAAATAAATTCCAACTGCCCCAATTATATCATTGTATGTAATTTAGAAATCTGAACTATACATAGTATGACTGAACTAGCTAAGTTTCAGAGCTCTAAAGTACAGATACTGATGTAAATGAAACATCTGAATCTTGGGGGGGGGGTTGTCTTCTTTTCTTTGGTGAAATGTTGGATATAGACTAAAAGGTATTACAGTAGACTGTGGGCATCCATTTCTGTTGTAAATATCCATCCTCTTTAGATAGTTGATTTTTGATCTGCATAATTTGAATGTGACCCTCCTATCTCTAAAGTGCTGAAAGTTTAACATATATGGGGGGATAGTATATTTCTTTCATAAATAATATGGCTTCTCAGTTTGAGAATATTTAGGCAATATTAAAATTTATGTTGAACAATTTCTCAAATAGTAACATGAAGGCAGGGAATTTTACAGGTGAACTTTTGGAGATTAATTTGTCCCCTTCTCTAGATTACCAAAAGAATCTCTGGCCTAGCATTTCAACTGCCTGAACTAGATATGTTAAAAGGCTCTTCTTCACAGCCACATTTTGGCAATTGGCAGAGTAATATGATGATTCAAACTGTTCTTCCTTGACTGCTGAGTCCTATTTACCCCTAGTGATGAGACCAGAGACTGGTGCTGTTCTTATATATTTAGCTGTCCTTACATATTTGATGTGGGACTAATTAAGGAAAACGCTTGGTGAATTTTCCCTTCTTTGTTTCCCCTCTCACTGAGTATCACTTGATGGTGGGAAGAACATCTACCAATTGTTGTCCCTAACAAGGGGTGGAGCTGGAGCTGGGGGTGAAGGGGAGTTTTGAAGATGGCTAGACCCATGGAAAACAATGCCCAAGGACTGGAGGTGACACACCTTCAGAAACCCAAAG